TATACCTGTGTAAATTCTTTGTAGCTATTTTTACTGATTTTTTCTCCTGGTCCCATGTAGTAGTCTAAAACTTCCTTCGCTACTGTTTCTCTCTCTGATACAGGTAAAGTCTCGTTGCAATGTAGCAGATAGGGAAATATTTCTACCCACTTTTCGTCTACCTCATCCAACTTTTGCCAAAGAACTGAAGAATTATATAATCTGTATCACCGAATCATTGCAGGGTATAAGAAAAAAGAAAGAAAGGCTACTATACAGCCTGACTCACCTCCTGTAAGAAGCAATCCTTCACCAGTAGTGTAGGAGGTAATCCAAGGCACATCGTGGACTTTACCTTCCTTCAAAAGCTGGTAAGGTTCCGCGTCCAGAAAAGCGTTCGTTGATCCTTTTTCCACCACTGGTGAAAAAGGCGTCATTGGCGCGATATCGTAACCATAGAAATATTTTACTTGCTCTATTAAATCTTGTGCAGGTCTCTGTTTAAGGCACTTCTTCAGTTCTTCCGAGGGGCTGTCAGGACAGGCCATCAACGCAGCAAGCTTCTTAGCGCTTTGCAAAGCATTTTTCTTCGTTACCCACGGCCCCAGAGCTGTACCGCTTTGAGAGATCCCTCTGATGAATAAACCTTTCGAGAGGGGGGAGAAATAGTGAAGGTGGACGCTGGCGCCTCCCGCTGACAAACCCACTATGGTAACGGAGTGGGGGTTTCCCCCAAACGAAGCGATGTTGTCCCGGACCCACTTGAGTGCTAAGACTTGATCCTTCATGCCGTTGTTGCCGGGTATGACGTCGTCTTCCGTGCTGAGGAATCCTGGAACGTTAATTGAATAAACACAGACATGGTACACCGAAAAAACAACGTACCTAGAATACCAACACGGTAATTCAAAGATACAAGCACTGCCTCCTTGTCTAGGAACGTATCAAATTCCGTTCCGCTGCCTACCATAAAAGCACCTCCATGGATTGAAACTATAACGTCAAGGGCCTTGGGGTTCTTCACGGAATCCTCAGGGATGTACACGTTTATGTACAGACAATCTTCGTCTCCTAAAAAATACAAACACTTTCATCAATGACGATGATATTGTAAGAAGTAAATCCTTAAAGGCATAAGAAGTAATATTTCTTCGTACTTTAAGAGAAGCATAATTAGGTGTCAAGTTACACTTGGTACTTTATACTGACCAGATTCATTGTGAATAGTGGACAGTACTTGACTTTGGAGACATGTATAAGAAACGTTGGCCACCCAAGTTCCTGACCAAGCTGGGATGGGTTCAGATTCCTACAAATACGTAAAGAAGCCATGACGGTTTAGTTGGACATTTAACACAAATGAGAATATTTTGACCCACCTCAAACCTAAGATCTCCCACTGGTGGTTTTGCATATGGAATTCCCTCAAATGCAGCATATGTTATACCATCCAACGTCTTCCAATATCCCCGAACCCTTCCCAAAGGCGTATCTATCTCTGGTAGATCATCCTGGCTTGAACAAACTAGCAACGATTTAAATTAAAATATATAAATTAAACTGTCTTTTATGACTGATAATAATTTACACTACAAAGACAACAACATACTTAAAAGCGGGACATTTTTTTTTAATGTGAACAATATCCATTACTGTTATCCTTGAACGACTAATTATCAATTTATCACGAAAAAATTTCTGTTTACCAATGACTTGTGATTATATTGTAGCTACTTGGATAATTTAATTAATAAGTGTTTTTTTCAAAAGTACTTTTTACAGCGAGATATGAAAATTAATAAAAAATGCATTCTCTCTCGAGCGGAGATCATCCACAGAGTGCCCTAGAAATAAATGCCAAACTGTTAATCATGCAAGTCATCAAGAGCAACAAAGGGAAGCAGAAAAATAGGAACTAATTAGGTACTTCGTTCAAGAATTTGCTATTTAGAAAAAATATATTGAACACAAGTTGTTGCTTTTATACGTTATACAGGGTGTTCTGAAAGTCCTACAGGAAATGTATTTACTTGATTGTTAAAAAGTATAAAAGTAAATACAGAAAAATATAATAAGTGTAGTTACTTACAGCTGTTCCCAAACGAGAGAACAAACAACAGACAACCCAATTTAGACAACATTTCGAGATGGACTATCCTTAGACGTAAATCTGACAGATATATATCTGTTTACCACTTATCTTGTTTATCACAGTCACAAGGGTGGCGTGATCGGAGTGAAATAGTGTAGGTGGACGCTAGTATCACTTGCTGATAGGCTAACTATGGCAATGGAGTGGATATTGTCCTTTCCTATTCGAGAGCTAAGACTCGATCTATCATGCCGGGTATAACGCGGTGACGCTTCATGACATTGTGAATATGTGAGTCACGTATCTTTTGTACTACGTGGGAAAGAAAGAAAAAAAACGCCGCAGGCAAAAAAATTTTAATTTTCAAGGTCAAGCGACTAAATGTATCTGGAAATTTTTAGTTGCATTTACTTATTTATTTATAGAAAAAACTGATGTTCAACTATTTGGTAATTTTATTAATCCGCTCTCAAATAATAAATAAGAATGAATTTCCACGTCATTTTTTATTATGGAGATCTTCGCCAATAGCCCTACTGTAACCGTAAATTAAAAAATTACATTATTATTATATTATTAATAATAATATCAGAACTTTAAAATTTGTGTTTACAATAAAATTAAGTAACAGTATTTTACCTAATAATTAACAAAATTGTTCCTACTTGGTTTATGAATATTAAAAAATATGAAAAAATATAAAAACATATTTTCATAAGGTAGGCAGCCAACTTATCTATTTACATATAAAACAACCCCGCCAGCTTTTCGTTTGCCTCCTCTTTTAACAAAACGACGAATTCAAACGATTTTTCGGGAAATTTGTTTGCATGTTCGGGGAATCTACTAAAGCAGGAAAATTTAAATCATGTAAATTCCCAAAACGAGTTGGTACTTAATTAAGGGAAAATATATTTCGAAAATATTACTAATTCATCGCAACTTTTTCTCCGTTTATTTGGTAGTCCAGTAAAATCCTTCGCATAATTAAAAAAATAATAAATTTTTCTTCGTTTCTTCATTCAGGAATTCTTTGACTAGAAATTTTAATTTGTTTAGAGCAGTAGCTTACGTCACTACGTCTTGAAAAAGGCATTTCAAGATATAAAACAATATCGTAAGAGAGATTCATTATTACTTACCTATGTAGGTATACACAGGGTGTTACAAATTAGTAGGTCAAGTAACCACACATTCTTTGGACTAAAATAATGGTACCTTTCTTATGCCACTGTTCATGTCGAAGCTCCATTTTCAAAATACAGGTTGTCAAAATTAAAATTTAAAAAATGATTTTTATTGATAACTCCAGTGATTGTTGAGACATTTATTTGAAATTTAGCACATACTTTGATCTTAAGTCGGCTTTTTGTATTAACTTACATATACATGGCTGTAAAATCTTTTCAAAAATTGATCTAGTTACAGCACATCATCAAACACCGGTAGCTGAAGGAGATATTTATATAAAACCGTAATTAATTAATTAGTGTAATTAACTGTAATTTATGTAAAACTGTAACTGCCTTTTGGTTTAATCATCTTAAGGTTTAATAATATATTATGTATGAAATACTATAAATTTTAAAATTTGTTTCCCAAAATGCTACCCTGTTCTGTTTTACAATCAAGCCAATCCTACCCTGGCGATTATAATTAACAACATACTAAACTAAATAATTATAGTAACGTGATGTAATTACACTGGTTTGTCTATTACTTATCCTCCTTTTTATGACAAATTTTAAGTGACTGAACTATTTGTGATAGCCAGTTTCTTTAATTGTTTTCTATAAGATGCGTGTATTACAAGAAATTGACAAAAAATTATATTTCTAGGCGAAGTACTCAGGTCATATTTATATAAAAAAAAAGTCTTGATAAGCGAATGATAACCATTTTTTTCGAGGATCATTTTTTTTATTCAAGGGGAGACATTTGTTCATTAAGTGCATCGGTTAAGTGAAATGATACGAGTGTTTTCGAGAGTTCTGAGAGGTTTCTACTCGAGATGAAGAACTTTTGTTCCAGTTCGTTGATTGTTCTTTGTCCTTTTAATTCATACAACAAAAATTCATTATTATAGATAAGTGTAGTACAATTGCAAGTAATTAGTAATGTTTCACAATGTCGTTGTTAAATCTACTTATCCAAAGATGTAACGGAAATTCCAATTAAAAATATTGACAGATAGTCCTTTAAGTATTAGATTATACATGTACACTTGTACGGTAATGGTAACAGAAATCAGATTTTTTGGGTATAGTATTTTTCTATAAAGTAATACTTACTTTTGGTTATGCTATTCCAAGACTTGTACTAGAAAGTTCAAGCAATAGAATCAGTCAGAGATAGAGACAACTGATGAATTGAAGGATACCTTCTTCGTCAGTTCGTCAGTTGTCTCTATCTCTGGCTGATCCTATTGCTTGAATTTTCAAGCTCAAATATTGGAATAGCATAACCAAAATTAAACAAAATCTGATTTTTGTTACCATTGCTTTTAGGAGTTTCACAAATTATGTTGTTATGAAATAAATTAGGGAGATAATAATTATACAAGTGGATATAAGTGTGGAATATAATATTTAGAAGACCATCTATCAGTATTTTTAATATACCTATGGAATTTCCGTTACATCTTTACATAAGTAGATCAGTCACTACTAAACAATTACCTCTATGAGTTAATACGNATTTAGGGAGATAATAATTATACAAGTGGATATAAGTGTGGAATATAATATTTAGAAGACCATCTATCAGTATTTTTAATATACCTATGGAATTTCCGTTACATATTTACATAAGTAGATCAGTCACCACTAAACAATTACCTCTATGAGTTAATACGATAAGATAATCATCGAACTGGAACAAAAGTCTTTTATCTCGAGAAGAAACCTCTCGGAACTATCGAAAACACCCGTATCGAAGTGAATAAAAAAATTGATCCTTGTAAGAATGGTTATCATTGGCTTTAGCTTTACCAAGATTTTTTTTATACAAATTTGATTTGAGTAGTTCGCCCAGAAATATATTTTTTTGACAATTTCTTGTAATACACGCATCTTATGGAAAACAATTAAAGAAACTGGCTATCACAAATAGTTGAGTCACTTACAATTGATCACAAAATGGAGGATAAGAAATAGACAAACCAAGGTACTTGTATCACGGTACTATAATTATTTAGTCCGTTATTTTGTTAATTATTATAATCGCCCGGGTAGGATTGACTTGATTGTAAAACAGAATAAAAGTTATCTTTTTGGGAAACAAAACCAGTTATAGTATATTGTATATAAAATATTATTAAAATTTAAGATGATTATAAAACAAAGAAAATACGGAAAGCAAACTATAGTTCATGTTTTACAACAAGGTTTTCATATTCCAAGAGTCCAAGCTTCCTCCAAAAGCGAGACTGTTTAAATCTAGTCTCCAATTTAAAGATATATATGTTGAATATACAAATGTTATTAATAATAATAAATTACCGTGAGCTACAACAACACTTAGGTTGTATATGGGTTTTTATTAATATGCACACATAATCACGCCAATTGCTACAACCAGCAATACGAAGCTGCTGTAAACAAAATTGCTTGTGAAAACTTACGCTCTCACACCTAGAACCATGGAGACTATACAAGGAGCCCGAACTCCATGTAAACAAAAATCTTACAAAAATAAGAGGGCGCTAGTGTTCCATATGT